TTAAACTCTCAAATGCACTATGACACACTGCCAGATAGAAGAGATGATAAACTAATTTTAGATGATCAGCTCCCTGTACCACTCCAGTAAGTACCTGACTCCTCATGCTATCTTCTACCTTTATAAGAGCCAGTCCCTTTATTAGGTGTACTCTTCTTGTACCATGTTTGACTCCCTTTTGACTTTAGAATCACCTCATTTGTTCTTGGCGTGGATTCAATAATGTTCTGGAATCACTCTTTTGAAATTTGGGCCCCTATCGTTATTATGGCATTCTGCAATGCTTCGAAATTGGTTGGCTTCACATCAACAAATTGAATCTCACTTCCCACCATATCCCATAGATAAGATCTATGGGATTAGGAACCAGTGACTTTGGAGGCCACTTTAACATGGAAAACTTCATTCAGGAGTTGCTGGGTTTTTGTGGTATAGATTACATGTCAAATCAAGGAATGGTAATAAATGGACTGCTCTGAAGCAGATTTATATAACCCCGAATTATGAACAGATGTCCCCTTGAGGAGGCACCATTCTTTGAGAGGATATTGGGCCTTAAACTCATGTGGGATTCTTATATACAATCCATCACTAAAGATGCAGGTAAAAATAATCGGCTCCTTGTATCGCTCCAGTAAGTACCTAACTTCTTATGCTATCCTCTTATAAGAGCCAGATCAGACCGAAAATGGAGTACTGTTGCCATATTTGGGAAGGAGCTACTCGGACCTCACTTTCCAGTCTTGAGAGAGTTCAAAAGCATCTTTGAGTCCTTGTGGGAGAAGAATTATTTTCCATAGTCCAACCTCTCTCTCACACTACTACCATGGAAAGTGCTCAGATGAGCTGCATCTCTTGGTTCCACCTGGTCTGACCTACATGGCTAGGACCTGCCATGCCACTTACATAGTAGCACACCACCAACATTCTCTTTGTATTCCATCAGCAAGGACTGAAGTTCCACTTGAACAGCTTCTTCCCACAAACCACTGCCCTATAGAACAGATTCCCAAGAGGATGTTTCCCCGATCACTACAATCTTAACCTGTTCAAGTTTAGAGTCAGCCATTATCTTTCCCTTATATCCATATAAATTAATATAAAATACGCTTTAACATAACCCTCTATGTTGAGTGTCCCCCGGGCCTCATACAGGGTGAACCTTACTGTAAGAAAAAAGATGCAGTTTTCCTCTAGTTCAACTTTGCATTGCTTTATTTGGTTGACCCATAATTCATAGTGATGAAATACTTAATTACTTTCTGAGCACCCTAATGTAACCAACATTGCTTGTCTTGCATATGGTTCCTAGTTGCATAATACATTTTAGATGCATCAAGGTTGGTCTTCAGTGATTCACTGTCCTCATCACCGACTTTGGGTTTTTGCATCATATCAGCTCAAATAGCAACCTTAACCTGATATACAAAGATATTTTACAAGATGTTTTAACCTATTAATTTTGAATGACAAAAATTAATGATTGAAGAATAGTTGATTCCCAAGAATACAAAATTTGCAGCATAAGATTATATATCAAAATTTTTAAGAACCAGCCTCCTACACCTATGGAGGTTTTGGGTGCTAAGATCCCAGCAAAAACTAAAAATATCTGATACTTATTTATTTACAATTATCTTGTATTTATTGCCTATATCTTTTAAGGCTCTTGACCATCATTAACATCTTCACTTTGGTATTGTTATAGCATTGTTGTCCAGCTGTGCTCTCCTGTTTGGAATAGAGTGAGAGATTAACACTTTTACTGCTGCATTGTTTCCCGGCTGTGTTGGCCTGTTTGGAATAGGCTGGAAGATTTAACTTTCAATGAAGCCTGTTTGGAACTGGGAGATTAACACTTTCACTGCATTGTTTCCCAGCTGTGTTGGCCTGTTTGGAATAGGCTGGGAGATTAACACTTTCACTACTGCATTGTTTCCCGGCTGTGTTGGCCTGTTTGGAATAGGCTGGAAGATTTACACTATTACTGCTGCATTGTTTCCCAGCTGTGTTGGCCTGTTTGGAATAGGCTGGGAGCATTTACGCTGACGTGCCTTACCGATCTTAATATATGACGTCATTTGTTTACATTTGATACGCCAGAGCAGTTATGAATGTACGAGATTCATGGAAGATTGAAGTTTATAAGCAGTAAATTCGACCTTGCCTACCGATTTGCGTGAGCGTTAAATGACGGTTCATTATAGGATGCAGGTTCGAATCCTGTCAAAGGACGAATATTTTCTATGAAAATTCTCGGGCATTCAGGCGGTAAATGTTATTTAATACTGTTTATTATAAACAGAGCATTTACTTAAATACTTGTATCTATAAAATAGAACATTAAACATAAAAAATGTCTTTAATATATAATGTAAGTTATGTAAAATGTATAAGTACGTCCTAAAAATAGAGAGCAGGCTATATAAGTTTTATAATGATGCATAAGTATGTCTTAAAAATGTATATGCACATGAACAGTAGGCAATGTAAGCTTTGTAAAGAGGTGTGTCTTGAAAATGTTTATTATTTCTATAATAGGCAATGTAAGTTTTATACACCAGATATGTTAACATATCCAGTGTATAAAAGGGGGAGAATCTTCTCTGTGCTTTTGAAATATTTTTGTTGTCCTTTATGCAATGACAGTCTTGTTGACAGCTAAATTTGTAAATGTCTTCCAAAAATAAAACAGCCGTCCTAAGAAATAGGAATAAAAATAAAAATTTATGAATACTTTATTGGGAAATCTTTAAACTTTGTGCCCTTAAAAAATAACAGCATGTCAAAAAGGCAGTTTTTCCCTTGAGAATGCTGTTATTTTAACTACCTATATAATGAAAGTGAATTTATACATTTTTTTGTTCTTGAAAATTTACTAAAAAAATATTAAACACTATTTATTTGTCAGTATTTCTGAGATGAAGTATTATGTACATTATTTACATTATTCGGACTATTGGACACATGGCACAGTGGATAAAGGCGTTGGTTAGATCCAGTGGCAGGACCCAAAGAGTGTGAGTTCAATACCCGATTAAAGCAGTGGAGAACTTTCAGAGGGAAATTAATAGGAGATAACTGATAACTGACATCCATCAAACATGGCATGTGGAACTAGAACAGTCTACCCCGGTGAGCGAAATAAAGGGTTCAGTTCAACATTCCAACCACCTGAAGAAGGCCGGAGCGTACAATGGCTGAAACGTTGTAATAAATATGGCGACAAAGATGAGGTCAATAGTCTGAATAATAATGTAAATAATGTACTATTTATTAGATTGTTTATTTAAAAGAATAATTTTAGATTTACATTCTAATAGCTAATACAGTTAAAACTAATGCAATGCAATATTTATCATTTATAAAGAAATAAAAATTAGCCGTCTTACCGACCATTCCAATAATAATATAAATAGCGTAAATAAACAATTTAATAAATAAACAGTGTTTATTATTTTTTTTGTCAAATCTCAAGAACAAAGAAAATGTATAAATCTACTTTCATATGTTTAAATTCTAATCCTCACTTTTTAAAACAAACATTGACAAGGAATGAAGGTAGTTAAAATAATAGTCATGGAAAAAAAAAAACATCCCTTTGACACACGGCTTTTTTGCAGGCACAAAGATTAAAGATTTCCAATACTTTATTGAATCTTAAAAAAATTACTTAAATTTTATACTTTGTAATTGAAAATCATGTTTTCTTACAGGTGGTCTGTTTCCTTGTCAGCACAGTCTCAAAGAATTTTAATATAAATGCTCAAATATTTTGTGCTTTTTTTAATTGTCATTATCTTAGCATTTTGGATGAAATAGGCACATTGGAGTTTTTTGTTTTTAAGAAGTATTTTATATGCATATTTTCTGTTTATGTATATTTCTTCTTCAGTTAAATATTGTTGGGCTGCAGATTCTTAGTGCTCTTAAATAAAATCCTATAATTATTTCAGATTTTATTCTGCTGCAGTGGTGAAAATAATAGATTATGAGGTCATTCCTCTCACCACAGCAGTAGAATAAAATTTAGAATAATTATAGGTTTTTATTTAAGAGCACTAAGAGCCCTCAGCTTTCAATGTTTACCTAAAGGAGAAATATACATAGAAAAAATCTTTAAAAACCTCCAATATACTTATTATTTCATTTACAATGCTAAGAGAAAAGGATAATAAATCTACAACCACAAAAAAAGATGACATTTTTTTTTTACCAAACTTCAATTTTTTTTTTATTATGCAAAAAAAGAATTCCCATTTTATTGATGACAAAATCATGACAATTGAGTTGCAGGTACAAAAAGAAATTTTGGTCTTATTTTGTCAGGACACAAAACACTTATTGCCCAAATCAATTTTGTTGTGCAAAAATATAAACTGAATGTTATAGAGTAGTTTCACAGTGGAGGCTTGTATTTCACTAAGTCGGTCCTTAAAAAAAGTTCGACATACAAAACATTAGGAACTTGATATAATAGTTAATGACGCAGCAATCTAGTTGTGGTAGTTGATACTTTAATGTCCGACATCGACTGACTCGACCAACTCACTGAGCTCCCTGGCGACTGCTGCTGCTACTACTACTACTACTACTTATATGTGGGAGAGTCTATTAACAATAGAATAGGTATGTTCCAGTATAACACTGAACCAGCGATTAACCCGAAAATGGTGTAATTTCCATTCAAGTACAATGATTTTAAATTGTAATGTCTGATAACACAAGACTAACTTTTCTGTATGCAAAAAAAAAAAAAAAAAAAAAGAAAAAAATTTCTAAACTCTGTCAAGTTAACATTGGCCAAATCAAGGGTATGTGGTTTTGGGTGAGTCATCAAGCATTCAATCTTCACCCATGAGGGTGTAAGGGATTCTACCTCTCACCTTGTAGGTCAGGTATTTATATAACTTCCTGTTATTTGGCTGTTGTGTACTGGATTCAATTCCTGTTTATGCATTCACCAACAACCTTTGAAGTTTGATTCTGTACTTAGTGGCTTATGGCCATATCATATTGAAACATTGGTTCCCATACCATCACCGGAGTTAAGCAATGTTGAACCTACTCAGTACCTAGATGAGTGATTGCTTAGGAAGGCAGGTGCTGTAAGCTTCAATGTGCTGGTGTTGTAATGGATAATGGCTTGGAATTGTTAATCAGAGAGCCAAGTTCCAATTCCAGTTAGGTTCATTATATTCACCTATGTGCAAATACCCTTATTTTGCCAGAGCCACCAAGTTCACTGGATCCAAATCCAGAGCCTTCCCACTCCTGTTGAAAGAACCCCTCCCTGATGAACCATGTCTTCAGGAGTGTAGCCATATTCACCATGTTTTGCTAATTGCTGGTTGGTGAGGCTGTTTAAGCCATAATTAGAAGATTTTTTTTTTTTAAGCATTTCATCCCAAGAAAGACGGGAAGCCACTAGGACGCAAGGGGTTACAGAAAATTTGGTGCAAGATCAGATAGGAGTGATAGAAGAAAAGATGAGGAGAAGGGTAGTGGATAGATCAAGGCAACTGGAGATGTCGATTGACATTACATTTGAATAGCTGGAGATTATAGCTCTCAGGAAAACTGGAATAGGGAAGGGAGTTCCACAGGCGAGAGGTGCAAGACATGAAGCTATTGGAGTAGAAGAGATGGCTACATTGAGAAGTTTCGACAGTGAAGTGGGTGAGAGCTGGATGCCAGCCTTGTAGGGCGCTTGAACTCATGAGGTCTGGGAACCTTTTTGAATGCAGCTCCTTGGAGCAATTGCCATGAAAGTATTTGTAAACAGACAGAGAGAGGTGACGGCGCGTCTGTGAGAAAATGACTGTAGACGAGATGCCAGTCAGGGCCAAGAGCATAGCAAACTATCAAGAACTAAAAAGGCAAACAGAAGGGGCTCCAGACCATATATGGCAGCAATACTCCATGCAAGGGTATTGTTGATTTGTTGATCTGGAGGATCGATTGGGGAAAAAATTTCCTGGCATGGCACAGGGGAGCCAACTTTCCTTGCGGTGGACGAAGCAATTGACTCAATGTATTTGTTCCATCTCAGGTCATTGTCAATAATGAGACCGAGCAGCTGCAGAGAGTTGCTAAAGAGAATTGAGCATCAGACATTCTAATGGAGGGCAGGGAAGGATCTCTGTGGCGATTAATAGAGAACAGTTTTGTTTTAAAAAGCATTAAAATTGACCAGCCAATTCCTGCCCCAGTTCACAACTGATTGGAGGTCCTTTTTGAGATTTGAATTCAGAGTTGTTCTTCTCTTAGACCAGTTGCCACCAAAAGCTTTAGAACCATGTCCATCCTGTTATTTACCCGCAGCCTTTAGAAGACATTATATCAAATATTTTTTAATGAGTATATGAATTTAATGAACTGTACCAGAGACTTATGATTGAAAAGAAAATACCTAAATTGTAATATTTTTTGCAATAAAATGTGGAGATGGTGAAAAAATGTATATTCATATCACAGATGAAAATTTTTAAAATTTTAAAAAATGTTTAAGTAAATTTATTATGTTGAAAAAGCCATTTTCATTGGTTGGTTCTGGGTGCTCATTGAAAACAAAGTGAAGGCTGGTCAGGTGAATATTTAAAATTATCTTTACATTCATTCAAAATATAAACCACTTGTTTTTTTTCAGAGGCGTTAATTACCTGAAATTGAAAAAATATATATATATATCAAATTTGTGGAATTGATTTTTTTATTGGACTCTGTACCACTATTTTTAAAATTGGACTAAATTATAGAAATTTTTTTTTTTTTTTTGTGTCTGTAAAGAACCAATTTTCACACATGAACTAAACTGGAATTTCAACTAGTCTCTCTGATTCCTCAATCTGAGCCATTATCCATTACTCCACCATGTCTCCATTGTCATTATTATCTCAAAAAAATTCTTATAATCAAAAAATATTTCCTGGTTTTAAAAATAAAAAAAATGGTTCAAAATAATTATAAATCAACTCGATCAAATGTAGTTTGATAAAAAAAATGGGGGTAAAAGATGGAAAAAGTTTTTCAATTTTTTTGTTTGCACTGTTCAGCTGTAAACAAAGCTGCAGTGCATGAGAATGTGGCTCACCTCTATTCGTCATCACGCGCAGGAATTGAACCTCTGCACAACAACAATACATCATTTCCAATTGCACTCTCTGTTGATTATGTTGACCAAAAAAATTTCAAAGTGCACAAAATGCATTTCTGTTTGAACATCCATTTTTGTAATAGGCTTCAATAACTTTAACACATTGTTTGATTGTTAATCTTTTCATGGTTGAAATTGCCAAAGACTTAAGTTGTTAAATCTGAAAGAAAAAGAAAAAAACCATTAGACTCTTAAACTTAATTCACATCTAAAATCGGTCCAAGTTATTGGAACACCCTTTATATGTAGTTTGAATGAAGGAAAAAGAGAAACTGGAATATTGCTTACCTCATGATGGCAGTGGGGGAGAGAAGAAGCAGAAGCAGGCGGTGATTTATTTTGTAAAAAAAATATTGTGGAAAGAGATGAATTATGGGAAAGAAGAAAGGTTAAAAAGACAACAAAAAATAGGAGTCAAATTTTGAATTTTTTTTCTCATTTTTTTAAATTTAAAAAGGCTGTGATATTGGAAGAAGGAGATTTAAATTTAAAGGAAGGAGGAAGAGAGATCCTGGGAGAAATTTTTTTTTTTTCATTTGCAAACAAACTAAGGATTTATAAACATAAAGATGATAGACATTGCTAAAAGATTAATAATTAAAACATTGTGTGAACAGACAGCAAATTTTGCAAGAAATTTGAATCTATGTTGGGGTCTGCATGTGTGGGAATGATTATTTCTTACAGAATTTCTAGGATGAGGACTTCTCATTATTTACACTATCCTCATCTTTGTTATCATCATCATAATGTTTCGATCACTATGCCTTCTGGACTTCTTCAGGTGCTTGTCAATACAGGTAACCTTCAGGTACTGTCTATATTTCTGAGATGAGGTATTATGTACATTATTTACATTATTCAGACTGTTGTCCTCATCTTTGTTGCCATATTTATGAATATAATGTTTACCGTTGTATTCCATGCACTATGGCCTTCTTCAAGTGGTTGGAATGTCGAACTTAACCCTTTATTAAAATTTAAATAGACTGTTCTAGTTCCACGTGCCATGTTTAATGGATGTCAGTTATCAGTTAATTTTCTCTGAAAATTCAATTTGCCTTAACCGTCAATTGAACTCACTACTCTTTGGGTCCTGTCACTGGATCTAACCAACGCCTTTATCCACTTGACATGTGTGTTTGAGGACATCTTGAGATTATAAATGAAATGTCTTCAGCAACCTTTTTTGAAAGTAAATTTGTAAAGAAAATTTATTTGGAAATTATTTTGTGACGGGCTTTGTTTTTTTACATCTGGTTCTTCTTCTTGAGTTTGCATATGTTAATTTTTGTAAATCAGCCAAGATATGTTTTATTTTATTTTATAACACCGGTCATTGTTGACATAACAAGTCTTCCTGGCATGGCAGGGTCCTTGAGCCATGTAATGATATAATAACAATCCAAGAAAATATTATTTCAGCATTCATAGGTATTATTCATTTATATCAGAAAAATATAATGAATATAATAAGAATTGCATCATCTTTTTTTTATTTTGTAAACAATTCAATATTGCAATATAAATTAAAAAAAGTATTAAATCATCTAGCAATACCTTCTGATGCAGATATAAACATAGGTATATATCTTCTAAATAAATAAATGGCAAATTTTGTATGGAACTCCTCTAACTCTGTCCACACTTGCTCTACATAGAGATATACCTTTTGGAATCAGGATGATACCGGGATTGAAAATCTATCCTTGATCTGGTGCTTGAACATCCATCATTGTGATTTGGGTCCCGATGAGGAGAGAAATATTCAAATTTTAAAATAACTGAAAAAAATTAGTGATTTTAAAAGTTTTTAATTTATATTGAGTTTAAAGTAATGTAAAAACTTTCTGAATTTAAAAATTTTTGTTTTAAGTTCAGTTTAAAATACCTCCAAAACTTTGTGAATTGAGGAAATTAGTTTTATTTTTTAGAATGCCAAGGAATCGGTGTTAAAGTGAGAAGTTCCACAGAGTTTGTGATTTGAAGAACTCTATTATCAACTTGAATTGGAATTTTTGACCAGAATTGAACTTATAGTGAATCAAGTTAATTTGAGACATTTTTGAAGTTCCATTTTAGTGAATAGGAAAAGGAATTAAAAAGTTATTTCTTCAGAATTATCATTGTTGTTTTCTAAGCTGGACCAGATGTTACTTTAGTTTTGAGCTGGAGAACCAATTACCCCTCCACAGGATCTAGCTTAAAAGTTCACATGGAGTACAGCTTTTAAGCTAGTAAGTAATAAAATTAAAAATTATAATATATAAAGTAGGTTAAAATTTTTTTTATTTTAAACCCCGAGGAATAAGTACGTTAAAAGTATTTTGCTCTTCATCATATCGCATTTGTTAGCTGCATAGCAATGACTTTTAACATGAGTGAGTAACTGAAAAATATAACCACAATAGATATAAAACTAAAATGATAATGTTGAAAAGAAAATCAAGTCTGATATCCAGGCAATCTCCTGTGGTGTGAAATGTGACTACTAGCACCTGTATGCATACCATACTTTGGGTAGCACTGCACAAGATGACATGAATTCTGGTAAAGGCAATTATTGTGGCCTTGTTAGGGCCAGAAATAGACACAAAGAGAGGTATTGCATTAAACAAATATATTGACAGAAACAGTAATACAAACATATACAAACGAGAGTGTTACAGCAAGAATGTTCCATCCAACTGTCAGAGCTGACTGCTGGAAACTTCACTCTCCAAAAAGCAATACCTGCTCCTATTTATAGCTGGGAGAGTCTGTGTGTGGGTAAATTACCATAACAGCAATGAACCTGTGAAATTGACTGCACTGAATGCAAGCCACCTTCACTGAAACCTAGACAGGTGTGTTTTATTTGGTGACCAGCATGGGTTATACCTGGCGACTACAGCCAGAACTCTAGTTATATCACCCACTGAATTATATAAAAAAAAAAAAAAAAACATGAATGCATA